CTTATGGAGACAACACGTAATCACCGCCTTCTTCTGTGGGACGGCTGAATATGAATCGAAGTCTTGAATCGTTCGGAAGGTAAGTACTCCGTCATTCCAGATTTTCCGAAAATTTCTTTGAATTAGCTGGGTCGTTACTTTCTTCCCTGTTTCAATCTTTACCCTTGTACCCAGAAAATCCCATTCTCAATTTTCTTCGTCCGTACGCTCAAGTGACAGTGCACTGTCGTAAGCATGTTTAAAGACTTCTATAATTTCTTGTGCTTTACGATCATCATTACCTTTACTCCAGACAAACAGCGATACGTCATCCATTAAGCGAATTCCTCGGACCATTTTAATATTATTTCCCAGGCTTGCTAGAAAATTGAATTTGTTAAAAGCGCAAAGGATACAAGCCAACGGCGGGCTTGTACTTTTCCCCATCGGAATTCCTGGCTTCTGTCGAATTAGCCGATCCGCTGCCATAGTGTAAGTATTCCGTAGCTCGAATCCAACCATACTACGGATTTCCTTGAAACTGATGATCAGCCAGCTGTCGCATCCGTTTTTCATAGAGAAGGACGTACCTTTCCCTCTTCTCTTGACTGCTATCCTCTCCTTTCCTTTTCCCTCATAGTAACGGAGGATCCAGTCGAATGCTTTCATAATCGAATTATGTGGCAATCGACTGAACATCTCCTTTATGTCAAAGGATGCGCCTAGTAGGTTGCCCCTTCCTTTCTTTTCCGTCCAGTTGTTCACCTCCGTAACGTTTCTCAGCAGATGGTTCGTTGATCTCAGGTTAAAATGCATACTCCTAGGTAGTAGGAACAAAAGGTGGTTCAGAGCTCGTGCCACCCGACTACCTGCCGATCTTGTCGGTTCAGAGAAGGAAGGGCTGATAGGACGAAACTTAGATAGGTCCTTATTCTTAGGAATAATATAAGCCCGCCCGCATCTTCCCTCCCCATCCCATCTTCCCAATCTCGTCAGGTTTGAATCCTTATATTCTCTCTCGCATTTTGCCAGGATTTCAGCTTCAGATCTCCATTCTGCACAGAAGCTGTCATTGCCCCAAAACACATCCCACATTCCCTTAGTGTAGGTTTCTGGACATAAAATTATTGTTTCTGCCAGGTTTTTATCCACGCTCGTCAACACAAAGTGTTTCCTTAGCGATTTCAGGTACACGAAATGAGCTGGATTAAAATTGCAAGTCAAGGTAGATCCCTTGATGCATTTTAGCACATTTTCTTTTGGCATCTGGGTAGTAACTCCCATCTTCATCAATGCATCATTCACCTCTAATAAAATTATTCTCTCTCTTCCATTCTGATCCGAAAAAACAACATTTCTAGCGTTCTTTGCAAAGTTATCTACTCCTTCCAAATTGCTTAACCTGCACAACACGTGTCCTCCCTTTGACGGGAGGTTAAACTCTGCACAGTTGCAGACACCCACCGGATTTTGTGATGCCATTCGGTGGTTATGAAGAATATCAGTCACCGATCTGTTTTTTCGCCAGACGGTCCTGATTTTCTTACATATGAAGGCAGCTTCTGCTAAAGGAAGGCAATTTCAACAAGTGATCGCTCACTACTCCGAAAGGTACTCAGGCCGATCTCGCGAATCACAGTTTTTCAATCTTGAATCCAGATATTCCCCCCTAATGAGGATACCACCTTGTCTCCGTTTGACGCCGCTCTGCATATCTCCGTTAATTTAACTGACTTAAGATTTCCTGTCGTAAATAAAAGTGGTCTTTCTACAAGAAATTTATTACATCTAGATCGCTTACGTTCCTTCCTCCCTTTGCGGTTTTTCTTCGCTGAACTCAGTGAACTGTGCTTTCGTGGTGTTGAGTTAAGTGTAGGTGACCAACGCTTAATTAGTACTCTTTCAACGCTGAGAAGGTCATGATCAGGGATGAATGCGATAGGGACAACCACATAATTCCTACTACCCCAATTTCGTAGCCAACTATATAGTTTCGAATTACGAGCTGTATGTATATTATTTGCTCGGTAGGTGTGTTCGTTCCATCTATCATAGAGTGATCTTGCTGTTTGCCCTATATAAGTTGCTCTACATCCAGGATCTGGCAGGACATAGACGCATGAGGATGGATTGTTTCATTTCTCTACCTCGTTCTCAATCATGTGGAGCCAGCTATCTAGGAATTTTATCCCCCATTGGAGCTTTCCCTTTAGGACTAAAATAACAACACAAAGTCTCAGGATTTTCTCGATAAACGTCCTAATATCTTTAATTCCTATTACAGTACTACAAATTAATCATTGGCGTAAACTAAGATAAAAAATTAGATCGTTCCAAACTTTAGTCTTCGGACGGATTCCGATCTCCGTTGCGATCACCCGGAGTGTTTGGCGTGCGTGTACCACTTGTGGGCATGTCTCTGATTACAATGCCGCCACGACTCGGTGTGCGTAGTTTCCGGAAGTAGTGCATTGTCCGGAGTTCCACCAATTCGTCGACAGCTTCTGGTCGTCCTCGATAGGCCATTCCTGCCTCCTTTCACATTTCTTGGATGGTAGGAACGCTCTTCTTATGGAGGAACTTTTTAACTTGTTTCCTGAAGTTTGCCTCGTTTTTGCTGTCTAGGTCCAACGGGGCGCCTTCCCAAAGCGTGGATTCATAGACAATGAAGTCGATGCTCTCCTTACGAGGTTTGTCTCTCCCTTTGCTTGTGGAGGTAACGCCTCTTCGCATTCCTCCATGATCCGAGTGGGAGCTTCTTCTTGCGCTGCCGATCTTCCCATCTTTGCCGGTGTTCCTCCCATGCTAGCTTGTTCCCCTGAAGTCTGGCCCGCTTGTCGCTTCCGTTTCTCTAGTCTATCTTCCTGTATCTCTTCTTCTTCATCGTCCTCGGAGCATGATGTCGATGGTGGTGGTGCGACTGTCTGCTTCGCCTTTCCTTTTACAATTCTCTCTGTCACCATCACTCCTCTCAACCGGGTCTCAAACATCCTCTCGAATTCCTCCTGCATCGACTCTATTTGTTTAGCTAACATTTTCTCCAAATCCCAATTCCGTTTTGCCTCTTTCTTTTCCTTAGCCTTCTTCCTCTCCAGTTCCAATCTATTCTGTTATTCTTTTGCTGCTCTCTCTTCATCCGCTTTCTTTTTCTTCTCCTCTTTCTCCTTTTTCTCCTTGCGCTCCTCTTCTTCCTTCTCCAATTGTCTCTGTGCAAAACTTGCCATTGCTTTAATTGAATCTTCCACTTCTTTGCTCAGTACCGCGGGCTTGGCTACATCAGCATATGCGCTAAAACTGCTTGATGCTTCGTTAGTACGCTGTCCTTGGTAGTTCCGCTGCTGGACGTTGCATTCTCTTGCTATGTGCCCGAATTGTCCACAATTGTAGCATTTTGGCCCTTTCTTTGTCCTCCTCCTCCGTTGTTCCATCCCCCACCATAGCCATTGTTCCAATTTCCTCCCCTGTTTTCATTGTTCCAACCTCCTCCTCCTCCGTATCCATTGTTCCAACTACTTGGTCCTCCTCCGTTGTATCCGCCTGGTCCTCCTCCGTTGTTAAATCCTCCTCCTCCGTTTCCGTTCCAACGGCCTTGTCCTCCGTTGCCTCCATTTCCTCCATTCCACCCTCCTCCACCACCTCCGCCTTGAGGTGGACCATTGGGTCCTGTTCCAAAACCAAATCCGCCGTTACCGCCGTTTCCATACATACTGATGTCTTCAGGATGGCGCCGCTTGGTCTCTGCTGAAGTAACCAGTTTACCTGATCTAATTCACCGCTCGTGATAGTTCACTTCGGATCTACACAAAAGGTAAAACGCTACAGGGTCACCGAACCAGGTGATCACCTCCTGGTCGGTCGCCACTGTCTTTAATCGATTGGAAGGAAAGCGAGATGCCGATTTCAGCGTATTGCTGATTTCAGTTAAACGCGTCACATAAGCAATGCCATAAAAGCAAATGCAAGAGTATGTGTATCTTAGAATCGTTCGTAACTTCTCTTCAAAAGATAAGACTTGCGTACCAAGAGAACTCTTCGAAAGATAGGAAGGTAAGTACCAAGAGATAGCGGAAGGTAAACCATGGCAAAGCTATGGTGATACATCCGCTATTGGCAACCCTCTACCGGTTTCGGCTGACGCCAGTTCCAGCCTCAGCAGGAGGGCGAAGTGTGACTCCAAGATGCGAAAGGTAACTACAGTAACTTATTAAATACTAGAGCTCGTTCCCTTTCACCATGCTGGAACTCGAGCTCCATCTATCTCTCCAGGCTATCCCCGTTTCCCAAACGTTATCGAAGCTCCCGCGAAAATCTCAGTAATATCTTAGATCTGCTTTCCAAAAAAATCCAAGTCCATCTACTACGTGAAAAACCCTCGGATTTYCGAAATCGCAAATTGTCGTATCTGCAGAGGCCCAAAACGTTATGTAAGTAACCGCAAAAAAAATCATAAACCCTTATGCCTGATATCACAAAGTTTCGCAAATCCCAAGTCTCCCAAATACGTGGTACTTCAGTCGGATTTCTGATATCGTAGTTTTTGTCCTATCTGTACAGACCCAGATTTATTGAATCGGATTTACTGTACAGGCCCCGCCTGTTTTATCCGAAACGTGCCTTGAAAGTCTACTATCGCTGTCTCTTATACACATCTAGATGTGTATAAGAGACAGCCTTGAAAGTCTACTATCGTTTTACCACCCACAGTACTTCTGGCCCCAAATCGACCATGACGGAGCTCTCTTTCTAATGAATTTACCCAGGCAG